AAATGATGTGTTGATGTCAGTCAACAGAACAGCAGTGTGTCTCATTATTATTTGTTTAAGTGTAAGATGAGGTTTGAACTGGTCTTTATGAGTTTAAAACATTTTATGAAACTGAGGTCGATCAGTTCCGTGAACTCCTCACTGTGTTTACATGATGCAAAGTATTTTATCGATGAATATTTGGCTTTTATGTTGAGAAACAGCAGAAATAATCGATGTGAGACAAATATAACAAATATAAAACATCCTTCCAACGAGTAAACTGGAAGTCTGTCCTGTAGTTTGTCTGTAAACTTGTTACTGGATGTGTGGTGATAAGTTGTTTCTATAAAATGGTTCAGAGGAGAGTTTCCTCTTCTTCTCTCCAGAGTAACTTCATGGAGCGTTACGAGTCTCTGGGTCTGGTCGGCGAGGGCAGTTACGGCTCGGTGCTGAAGTGCCGTCATCGGGACTCCGGCCGACTCGTTGCCATCAAGAAGTTCGTGGACTCTGACGATGACAAGACGGTGAAGAAAATCGCTCTGAGGGAGATCAAGCTGCTCAGGGTACCTGTCAATCACTCCATTGTCAATCAATGAGCCGGAAACCTGAGACACAAAGCAGCTCGTCAATCACAACCTGACGAGTCTGCGACTGTTCATTAATTTACAACCGGAGGAAAAAAGAGGAGAAATCAGCTGCTGGCAGCAAAGAAATGTGGAAAAGAAATAGATTAGCAGAGACGAGCGACCTTCACTGTTGATTTTAAAAATACTTTGATAACGAGTTAAAAACCACGTTCAGCCTTAACTGCTCAAACCTTCTTCATCTTTCTAACCATGAAGCAACTTCGTCACGGCAACCTGGTGAACCTTCTGGAGGTGTGGAAGCGTCGGCGGCGCTGGTATCTGGTGTTTGAGTTTGTGGAGCGGACTCTCCTCGATTATCTGGAGCACAACCCGAGTGGACTGGACCTGAACACCAGCCGTCAGTATCTGTACCAGGTCCTGAGGGCCACAGCGTTCTGCCACCAGCAGAATGTGAGGACACACGCTCGCCCTGAACTGGTCACGTGCTGCGTTCACACCAAACGCAAAGCTAATTTTTCCCACCATGAGACAAAATCCATGCAAAGAAGCAAATCGACGCAAATTTCATTCACCCCCCCCCAGGTGACGTGAATAATGCAACAATAAGAGTGACACTGAACTCAGGCTCTGGCACTGACCTTAGCTAGCATCTTACTGACCACTGGTTAGCGTCAGGTAGCGCTGGAAACGTCCTCATCCAGACGCTGCTCCTGGAGATGACGGTGAAATTCTGTGTGATCTTCTGGATGAATGATCAACTCTCCTGTCGTCACTTCAGTACTTCTCCTCTTTTCTGGAGGGGAACATGCAAATTCTCGCAAATGATCCCGAGGCACAAATCCTGAACTGTCGTGTTGCGTAGTTTGGTGTGAACGCAGCGTTAGACTTTATACAGGTCAGACAGTTCTTTATTAGCCTCCTTACAATATAGAGAATATCCACTAGAGGGTTCAATCCCCACTGAGCCAACACACACTGCACTTGCAGGTAACCCACGAAGAAGATGAACATGGATGTTCAATGAGTTCCCAACAAGGCTGTCAGATGAAGGATCACATATTTCAGTATTTTCTCGGTGTTGTTCCTCACAGATCATCCACCGGGACATTAAACCAGAGAACATCCTCATCTCTCAGGGGGGCGTGGTCAAGCTGTGCGATTTCGGCTTCGCCCGCACCTTAGCGGGCGACGTCTACACCGACTACGTTGCCACTCGCTGGTACAGAGCTCCTGAACTGCTGGTGGGAGACATCAAATATGGAAAGTAAGTGTTTACATGAAGACCTGAGGATGATGATCAGGTAGAAATGTTGACCGTGTGTGTGTGTGTGTGTGTGTGTGTGTGTGTGTGTAGACCAGTAGACGTGTGGGCTGTTGGTTGTCTGTTATTAGAGATGTTCACAGGTCAGCCTTTGTTTCCCGGAGACTCAGACCTCGACCAAATTTACCACATCATCAGGTGCTTTGGTAAGAACCGAACAACTTCTCTGATAAACTGACGATAAATCTACTTTTTAACTCAACACAACTGTTGTGTTAAGTTCTGGTTTGTCTATTGAAGGTAACCTGACTGCTCATCACCAGGAGTTGTTCTACAGGAATCCTGTCTTCTCAGGAGTCAGATTGCCAGAATGTTATGGTCAAGTCCCGCTGAACCAGCGCTTCCCTACAGTCACCTCCGCTGCCGTAGACCTGGCTCAGGTACAGTGACAGTCTGAGGGCTGGTTGGAGCCGGGATACTAAGAATCAGATTAATAATATCTTTGCATTCATCTTGTCAGAGCTGTCTCCAGATGGATCCAGAAAGACGAGCTCATTGCTCCGAACTGTTAGAACATCCCCTGTTCACACAAGACTCTTTCCACATCAGGTATCTCATTTTCATTTTACACTCGTCATTCATAGAATTGTCAGTTAGCTATAGGTTCAATTTTCACTAGTGATACCATGAATCAACCATTTGACCTACACCTGTGAATCCATACAGGTTCTCCAATGAGCTAAATGCTAAGATCCAAAAGGACCACAGAGAAAACTCTAACCTTCCTAAAATAAGCAAAACCTCAAGACGCGAAAAGGAAGAAAGGAATGAGAAAAACCAGAGAGGAAAAGAGAAGAAACAACTGGAAGATGTGAGTGAGAAAGTTTACAGGGAAAAAGAGAAGAAATACAAGAAGGAAGAAGAGAAGACGGAGAAAACCAAAACAAGAGCAAAGCTTTCTAAGACTACCCAGAACACCTCCGAAACTTTAACAAGCAACAAACAATCCAAGACGTTCACAGGGAAGGTCATTGAAAATGCAGCAAGAGCTTCAGTAGCCATGAAAAGTAAAAGTGGTGCAGGGTTAAGGAAGGAACTCCTTAAATCAGAGAAAACACTCACATCCATTTCATCAAAAGGCTCCAAGGCTGTCACACGTCTGAAGGTCAATAACTCAGTGACAGAAAAACCTAAACATGGGAAAGATGCTTCTCCAGAACCAAGAGAAGATTATTTACAAAGCACAAAGAAGACAAAAGATGAGGAGTCCAGTTGCTTGTGTTGTAGTTGCACGGACACACCGGTGTCAAGTGAGAAGAATGTGATGGACATCTGTAGATCTTCTAAATCAAAGTCAGGCCAAGAGTATGAGAAGAAGAGCTGGAACAACCCAAACATAGAAGTGCCCAAAATGTGGAGAAGCTCAACCACAGACCATGTGAGTTCATCTTTGAAAAGCTTCCATCAAACAGCACGTGAAGCGTATCAGGCATCAAGCAATGGCCACACTGAGGTCCCTCCCCTAAATAAACCTACTGCCACCAAGCCATGCAAGACCCCGAACTCTTCAGAACATCAAAACTACCGACTGACCACAGAGCGAGAGCAAACAAGGACTTCTGAATGTTCAAAAGTCCCCGAGCCGTTTAACAGGACCTCAAACTCAGGTCCAGAAGTCGACATAACCAACACGTCTTTGTCCATCAATCTGTCCGAGACTCATGGTCCGTGTTTTTCATCGCAGTCCTTCACAGTTTTTTTAGAGGCCTCTCCTGCACACAGTACTATCACACTACCCAAAGGAATTTCAAATCAAAACTTTTACAAAACTGACTCGACTTCAGTTGCACCCAACAAACCGTCACAGGACCTTTCAAAAGACAAGGAGCTTGTCAAGGTAATGATTGAAACCAAAAATCAATTGGGCAGTTTTAAAACTGAGGTTCAAAAATACTTGAAAACGAGTCCATCAAAAAGAGCAGAGAGTAACCACTCACCAATGATATCCAGTGTTCCTGGAAGAGATCATGAGGACGATCCTGAATCTTCTGAGCTCTGCAACGTTCATCAACAGAGCACTTCTAAATCCAAGATCCCCTCAGAATCCAGGACCCCCTCAGAATCCAGGACCCCCTCAGAATCCAGGACCCCCTCACACACAACACTGAGTGAAATCACTAAAGCTAACACATCAGTGGGGACCACAATTCCAAAAACACTGAAAATCTCCGATAAGGAGAACAGAGAGGATTTAGAGGTTTCTGTGTCTTTTGGCAATGAAGTCGAATG